GTATGCAGCAAAGTTTTCTCTTCTTCTGCGGATATTTTCCTCTTTTGATGAGAAATGTTGAAGGTCTGAATTTAGTTGCGAAGGTCACTGATTCACAGGCTACAAAATTGTTAAGGCTAGTAACAGCAGGGAAAGTGTGCTGTTGATGTGTGTGCAAATGTCATGTCAGCTGCTGTTTGGATTAAAAAGCATGAACATAAGCAAAGATATCTGCATGGCCATAAAAGAACCAAATAAGAAGACATTTGTTGTGATTTCTGCCCTAAGGAACAAGAAGTATGGAGGTCTCATTTCAGTGGCTAGATGTAGTATCTCATTTGGAGGAAGGAGGGGCAGGAATGCCTTGGGAGGCTACCAGAGTCTAGGTTGGAGTGACAACTAGGGTTTTTTTCCCATGGTTCTGTGCTCTTGATGCTAATAACTGTTGGGACATCACTTCTAGTCCCTTCCCCAGTTCCATTGTGCCTCGGAGTGTTTCTGAGTGGGTCCATGTGGCAGTAAACTCCTCTCCTCTCTTTTCCATTCTTTTCAGTAGGCTCTGTATTTGTAGAGCTGTAACATGTTTGAGCCAGAGGAGGCAGATGAGTGGAAAATGCTTCAGGGACACGCATTTTTGTTAGTTATGATCTCCAATATGATGTTTTTCATGAACACTTGAAGCACATCACTGTGTGGAAGCACAAACCCCATTTTATCTTGATTGTCAACAAAATCATTATCTAAGAGTGTTAGACAGAAGTGGGAGTGCTGAGGGTGCTGACAACCAAGTCAGTTTTAGATGGTACCTATGCCAGGCACGCAGACATGCCTTTAAATCATCCTCACTTGTTGCACTGTGCTGAGTTCCCTGAGCTAACCTTGCCTCCCCCTCTCCTCTTTGTTTTAGTGAACAAAACGGGTTGTGGAAAAGCCATCATCTTCACTTGCTCCTCCAAGGTACACTTGTGTTCCCAAACCACCATCTAGACTAAACAAACTGCTTTTCATATAAGGGCAAGACGAGAAAGATTTCCCTTGTAGCTACATGCTTTGGTTTGGTGCTACTCGGGTTGCTGTTGAAAATTGTTTTCATTTTTGTGGGGTTTTCAGAAAAGCTCCTATTAGAAATTAATATTCCAGGCATGCTGGAGTTTACCTACGAACCAGACTTGTACTTTCACGCCTGTTCCCTTCTTTTCTCCTCCTCCCCTCCACCTTTAGTCTTTAGAGCCTATGTGTTTTGCTGGACCAAGGAACACAGATGAAGAAGCAATAATTAGGGGAAAGAATGAAAAAAAAAAAACCAAATAGCCATTATAAAATTTCTTATCCTCTATTAGAAATTTTTTTTTTGAGGGTTGGGGCTTTCACAAAGGCACTGGCTAGTTGGGTTGTTTTGAGGTTTAACTTAGTTAGTTGAATGCATCCTACACTGTAGCAGTGAGATTCAGTTTACATTCTTGCCTGGCTGGGTGTGAGTTGAAAATTTGATTATTCCCAAAAGGGTTTTTTCTGGTGCTTTGCTGTTTGTGAGTGTGGAAATATATTCCTTTGGCTTTCTCTCCTCTGCTCTCAGTGCCCAAACACAGGGTGCAGTTTTAGGTTTGAATGCTGCCATGTCAGTGGAATAAGTAAGTGACCTTCCCCCCTGCTTCTTCCTAATTTTTCTCCTGGTGGCCTTGCAGAACGCTCCAGTCCCAGCACAAGAGGGTGGCACCAGCACAGCACAGCAGCTCAGAGTCAGGGAGCACCAGGGGCTCCTCAGTCTCTGCACTTCCAAGAGCACCAGCACCTGAGGTGGATGCAAATCAAAAGCAGAGGCTGTCCCTTGCCTCACACTCTCTGCTGTCTAAGGGCAGTCAGGACAGGAGACCTTAAATATTGTCACTGTGCATGTGTCCCCTTGAGACCTCTCCAGCAGAATCAGACATTTCTTGCCCTCTGCTTCCTTTCTATACTTTGTCAATAAATAATCCTTCTTGGACTTCTGGTGCCATTCCTGGCAGTATTCCCACTTGTCCTTTGGCATCGTCTCAGCGTTCTGGAGTTTTCATTCCAGGATTAATCCATTTTGAAGCTGAGATGAAACTTTGAGTGAATATGCTGAATGGTCCTCTTCTGCAGTAGGGATCTCTGGACTGTGGCCCCTGAATGACTGGTTTCTCTTCATGGGTATTTTGGACAGTGGCTCTCTAAGTGAAAAAATTCCTTCTTTCATTTTCTGCTTGTTTCAGTCCCGTCAATGTCCTATTTTCTTATTTCTTCGCAGTCTCAGTTTCTTTGCTAATACAGTCCTCCAGTTCTGAAGCCTGGAGAGGGAGGAGGAGGAAGAAGCAGTGAGGCTGCAGCCCTGGATCTATGGTGTGTGTGCTGGATGTTCAGCACAGGAGAGGTGATTGGGCAAAGGGCTGAGCTGCTTGGCTCTTGGGAAACATCCAGTGAGCTGTACTGCACGGAGGAGAGAGATTTAGCCAGAGAAAGCACCTTGGGAAGGCTGATCAAGGGGGCCTTTGGCTGAAAGCTCATCCCTCCCTCCTGTTTTGGATGAAAGAAGAGCTGTGAGGACACTCCTGCCCTGCAGGGAACCTGACAATGAAGATGTCTAGAGCAGAAGAAACTCTGCTGTTCCTTCCTCCTGCTTTGAATTCCATTTGAATTAAAGAGTTTGGCCTCAGTTATACTGAACAGCCACATACCAAACAGGATTTTTCCTGGGACCTCCCTGGACATCCCTTAGGAAAGCCATTTCTTCCAGGCCAGGAATGTCAATGTCTGAGGCACGTGTCACCTGCAGCTGGGAATTCCTTATTGATGGCTTCTTTTCCTGGCAGCACTGGAAACTTATTCCAGCCTGAATAGCTAAGCAGATCCAGTGCAGAGCGAATTAATCCACAGGGGATAACCATGCAGGGACTCACTTTGCCTTCACAGAGACACTGAACAGCTCTTTCCTCTTTTCTCCAAAGCAGAACCTTAGTCTCTTTAAGGCATCTTTCCAAATTAACTGTGAGATGTCATAAAAATACAGCATACATGAAGCTTAGATGTATCCCTTGTTGTCCTGTGGCAGGTTTCACCACCCCTCCCAGCACCTGAACACAGCTGTTTGTAAAGCCAACCTCCTTGTTCAAGTCTTTAAGAACCCCTCAACCCTTCCAGAGAGCCTTGCATTGCCTGCACTGACAGTCTGGGATGTGTGAGAGGCTTCATGGCAGGGCCCAATTAGGGAGTGTCAGTGTGCAGAAAGGAACAGGAATGTGGCATCTTCCTCGGAGTGTGTTTAAAAAGGATTGTCAAAAAAATCCCAACCAAACAAAAAAAGGATGAGTCAAGCTGTGTTCCTGTGCAGTTTGAAAACTCTGGAGCCAAGAAGCAGAATTTCAGGACAACTCAAGAGCACTTCTGTTCTTAGGCAGAAAGAAGAAGTCTCCCTTGAAGTTGGCTGAAAACACATGAAGAGTCTGCTCCATCTTGCATGAGCTCCATGTGTAGGTGCTTTCCTTGTGCCAGAAATTCTCACCAGAATCAAAGCAAACTTGCAGAGCTCGTCCATTAGCTGGGTTTAGTGTGAAGTTTGTGGTCTTTACTTTAGTCCTTCAGAAAAGCTCCTGTGCCTGAAGGCCTCTGCCATTGCAGGAGGTGACTGGTGGCTTCCACTCTTGCTCTGCTCTGGTCTCTGTTCCATTACTGCCCTTCATATTAAACTGTTATTCCTTACTAGCATTTCATTATGAATGGACTTGAAAGACATTTTTAGAGCTGCTGGTCAGGAAATGTTTGCTGAGTGCCTACTTGTTTGGTATCAATGAGTAAAATACCCAAACAGACTCACAGTGCTTCCCTCTTTCTTGTTTCAGCCCATCGTGCACATTTATGTGCAGTCCATTGAAAGAATATTGAAGATGGGTGCTCTTCAATACCAGATCTCCACAGGAAAACCAGTACAAATCCACGGGGAGGTGGATCCCTCTGACTCTAGGAAGGGTGAAACTCCCTCTGTGTCCATCAGCAAAACTCCTGAGAGCTGCTTCTCTCCTCTTTCTAGGAAATGAGCAGCCCCCTGTCGCCTCTCCTGCCACCTCTTCAGTCACCTGCTAGAACAGAGACTTCCAAATTTCCATTGCAGGCAGAGTAACCCTGCCTATTTTTGCCAGGGCTTCTGACAAATTACAAGAGATCTTTCTGCTGAGCAGAAGTTCAGTCTTGGCTGAAGGAGCCTGCCTGGAGGCCAGCCTGAGTTCCTTGACCATAAACAGTATTGTGAGTTAGATGCCAAACATCAAACTGCATCTTGTGGTTCCATTATACCCAGGTGGTTTTGTGGGTTTTTTTTGTTTGTTTGTTTTTTTACTTCAGGACAAGAAATAGTCTGATTTTATTTGTGTGAATGACAAATACTCCTGTCTCTTGAGAAATGGCTTAGAAGTATTGGGAACTATTATTTCTAACTGTTTTTTACACTACTGAGGCTTTATGAACAGCTCTTACATGCAGAGGCAGCCTGTGCCTCTGTAGGCAAGGCTCAGCTGCTTCAACAGCAACTGGAAAAGTGCAGTTCCATAAAGGGAGCAGACTGCAGAAACATATTTATTCTAAAATACTGATAATAAAGATAATGATGATGATGATAAAAATAGTAATAACAATAATAAAGCGAAGTAGGAGTAGTAGCAGTATTTCAGAAATGGAAACAGTGCTCCCTGACTGTCAGGTTCTAAAGGGAACACAGACATCATGGAGGAGGATGGAGGAGGAGAAAGAGAATGAGAATGAGGAGGAGGAGAAGGAGGAAGAGGATGACAAGGAGGAGGAGTTGACATTGTTGAGTTCAGCTCTTTCCATGCCTAGTGTCTGTTATTAACTCCCCTTTAGAAGAGCTTTTTTCATCCTTACTCTCTTTTTATTATTAATACATCTGCAATACATTTATAGAGCTGTTGGTAAGCAAAGGTTTGTTGAGTTCCTGCCAATTAGTAAAAAACCCAAACAAACTCCTTCTGTTTCCCTTGTTCTTGTTTCAGGCAAAGAAACCCTCTGATGTGCCATTGATTGAAGAAATTTTGAGGGTAAGTGCTCTTAAATAGAAGATCTCTGTGTTTGCTTGTGTTTTGCATACATTAACGAAATGAGTGGGGGCAAAATACATTTTAAGAGTTGCTTCTCTCCCTCTTGAAATGAACAGCTCACTAACGCCTCTCATGTCACATCTCCAGACGCCTACAAGAGCAGAGACTTCCAAACTTCCATTGGCAACAAAGGTGACCCAGTCCTTTTATGCCAGGGCTTCTGATTAAATACAAGAGATCTTTCTGTTTAGCAGAAATCCAGCTCAGCTGTTTGTCAGCTCTTAGAATGTTTTAAAAATATTTATTAAAAATGCACATGCCCGTAACGTGCCATTAATACAGTTTTGGTATCAGTAGATGTGCTGTTTAGCTACATGCTAAGCTACTTTGTCCTTTTATTCTAAGAATCCCAACCTGATGGATCTTCAGCAGAGAAGCAGAGTAAGTAGAAATGCAAAGAAACCGCAGTTCTTTGTGTGCTGGCAGGTAATTGTGTGTGTTACTTGTGGTAGAGACCATCAAGTGTTCACACTGATGAAGCAGCATGATTTCCTCTGCTTTGCTGAACAGGGATGAATTTAGGAATGGTTTAAGAAACTGTAACCAATCATAACCTAGACCTCAGGGTAGCTGTTCAGCAGAACACAATACAAGCAGTATTTAGTTAGGAAACTCCCATCTGGACTGATGAACAATCTTGGTGGCAAACCCCTCCCTAGAAAAAAGTGACTCTCTAATCTGATGCTGACAGACCACAGGGTAAAATATGTTACAAGGGAGGTTTATAAATGCAACTTTTTCATTTTTGCTTTCCAGAGCAGGCTGGCACAGCTTCAGAAATGCTGCCAAATTCTCAGCCAAGGATGTCATAAGTAACCAGACTCTGTTCCCATCTCTGCTGGGCAGTTACTTAAAAGAATCTGGAATGCACAAAATATGGGTTATCAGTCAGATTCCTCTCAGAAAACTTAATTGCAAGGAATTTTCACCAATAGGAAAATTATTGTTTTATCATGGACTCACTAAATTGTTTAGGTTTGAAAAGGCCTTGAAGATCATCAAGTGCTGTCGTTAACGCAGCAATGCCAAGTGCACTAAACCATGTCATGATTACAATGACTGTGTTAAAACCAAAACAAAATAAAAGTGAAGAGAAAAACCCCCAGTCTTCCTGTACCAGATTGAAGTGTTTGTCTTCTTTTAATCTGTGGTGCTTAATATCTTGTCACACTTTGAACTCATCAACCTACTAATAATGCCTTTGACTGAAATAAATGCTAAGGGATACCAGCTGAATCTGATCATTCCTGGATACGGTTTTGATGCCAGGCAGGACAAGTAAAGCTACAGCTACCTAAAATCTGTAAATCTGATGGTGACATTTGAAAGTACTCTCCTGTGCCCAAGGAAAACTTTTCTGAGAATTGCTGTAATGATTTTATTTTTATTTAAAAAGATACACAAAGAAATATAGTATTTTACATGGACATTCTAAAAACCTCACTTTATATGCTAATAAGGTGGGAAGCTGTAGACTGAGCTGAAGGTGAAATTTCTATAGCCTATTGGAATTGTTTGTTTGTCTGAATGGGTGTGAGTTGGAAGTTTGATAATTTCCAAGGTTTTTTTTTTTGTTCTGGTGCTTTGTATTTTGAGTATGGCAATGTATTCCTCTGGCCTTCTCCCCTCTGCTCTCAAACACAAGGTTCCATGTTAGTTTTGAATGCTGCCATGTCAGTGGAATAAGTAAGTGACCTTCCTCCCTGCTGCTTCCTAATTTTGTCTTCTGGTGGCCTTGCAGAACTCTCCAGTGCCAGCACAAGAGGGTGGCACCAGCACAGGCCAGCAGCTCGGAGTCAGGGAGCACCAGGGACTGCCACAGCTCCTCAGCCTGTGACAGGGAGATCAGCTCCAGTGACAGTGAGGAGGACAACCTTCCAAGGGTGCTGGACCTGCCAGCACATGAGCTGAGCAGAGAGACCATGGAGAGCCTGCTGCCACAGACCCTTGCCCACTGCAGAGCTGCTGTCTTAGGAAGGAAGCAATGTTTTACTTCTTATCTGTTACCAAATTCTGCCTGCTTTGTCCTGGAAATACTGATCTGTAAAACTCCTCTCGCTCCAATGAAGGTTTAGGTATTTGCCACTGACTGGTTTATGGTTTTTTATTCGGCACATATCCACCCATGGTGCTCAAGGAACAAGTTGGTGCCAGTGGCCTGTTAGTTTAGAGTCAGTTCTTCACAGGCTAAAGGCCAAAGGCAAGAGTCCCTGAGCTCTGGTGAGCTGTGCTAGGACAGAAAGAGTCAAAAAAGGCATCAGTCTTGAATCCTTCTTTTCTCTTTTCTTGGCAGCCTGAGCCATCAGCTTTTAAAAAGCGGCACCTTGACAACCTCGTGAGGACCTGGACCTGCCTGCCACAGATAACTCTGCCAGGAACAAGGATCTTTTGTTTGCCAAGCACAGGAAAGTGGAGGGAGACCAAAAGGAGAGATCCCAGGACATCAACGTTGGTTCCCAGGAGAGCTGGTGGGAGGATTCCTGCAACCCACCCGTGCTGTGTGATTCACTTCAGAAACATCCTCTCAGACAAGTGACCATTTCTGGCTGTAGGCAACTGCAAATAAAAGGAGTGTGTTTATAAAAAGGAGTGTTTTTATAAAAAGGAGTGTGTTTATAAAAAGAAATTGTGATTTATTTATACGTAACCTGTGGGTGTGGCTGCAACCTGGGCCTCAGGTTTTATAGCATGCTGACAAAATTGTTGCGTTTATGGGTTAAAAAAATTAGATTTTACTGGGTGTTTATAAAAATTTGGCTCTTTACTGACAGCTTGAGGTATGGGGTCAAGGATGTTTGGGCGGGGGGGAGAGGGCAGGGTCTCAGTGAGTGTGCAAAAGCAGAATCTGGTACCAAAGTAGGGCATCCTTCCTATGGGAGGGGACTCAGGCTCCCTCTCAGCCACACCCTAGGATGGGCCCAGTGACTTAGAAACCTGTCAAGGGGAACCCAAAAGGGAAAAATGAGCTGTTTCAACCACTTCTCCCTTGCCATACTAACAGTGGAGGCAGCATCCACAGCACTGGTGTGTTCAGTTGACACCCTTCTCTACCCAAAGATTTCCTGGAAATTATTATTGCAGTATAGCTCAAGGGGTTATTTTTTCAGAGAAATCACACTTCTGTGAAAAAAAAAGAAAAACCCAAAACTCTTCAAGTTTTTCAGCCACATTTCAGTTGACTTTGATGGGCTTTAGATCAATGTTATTTATATAAGATATTTAGAAGCAAGTTCAACAACTGTTAAACAAAAAGTTTTATTTACACAAGTAGTTTCATTGTGCCTCAAACACAGCTGAGCAGGTTCCTTTTTACAGTCATATTCCTCCATCTTCCCATTCAAGTCACTGTATTGCAATATGAAAGCAAATTATTGATAATGGTCATAAGACAGTGAATAAAACATGGATGCTTGATATCAGTGAGAGATTCTGGAATCTTGATTTATCAACATGCTAGTCCAGTGTGTTGACACCCTTGTCTACACAAAGATTTCCTGGTGTGTGACAGCAGCATCCTGCCATCCTCACATCCAATGGTGTGTCTGCCTTAGCCCTGATGCTGTCACATACCTTCCCCATCTCTGAAGACCTGTGCGTGTCTGGAGAGAAAGATGGCATCCCAAAATAATTGTGGTTACAAGAAAGAATTATCTCCCTTTTCCACATCATTTCATGATGTAGGAACTAGTACCCCCTTTGTAATATACCTGCTTGTGGGTTTGAAGCTCAAGAAAATGAACAGGAAATAAATACTAGCAAAATGCCTACATTTCCAAAAGGAGTTTCTGTAGAAAGGGCTCCTGCCTGGAGTCATTCTGCCTCCTGGCCCTGCAGGACCACCAGGATCATGACTGTTTCTGCATCTTCAAGGGACTGGCCTTTTATGTTCACTCTATTAAAAGCCTTAGTACATTTCAGGGATAAGCTACCCTAATGAGTGGAAGGAAGGTTTATGTTCCCTCTCCCCATTTTACCTATCAAACCTTATTTACTCCTCATCCCCGGAGTTGTCTCTGCCCATAGCAGGAGGATTGGAATTAAACCATCTTTAATGTCCCTTTCAAACCAAGCCATTCTATGATTCTATGAAAGAACAGAAAATTTTTAAAAATCCATTGTATTTCAACCTTGAGCCAGGTCAGGGGCCTGCAATTAGTTAGGAAAGATGCTCATTGTTTTCACTTGGGCTATTCTAGGACATGAACAAGATGACTGTTTTACCTGTTCATTTTGTCTGCCAGCTTTGACCTTCTGTCAGTGGTGAAAACTTTAATTAAGGACAGTAACTGACCTTCTGCTCAAAACCAGTGACTAGTGTGTGTGAATCAGCACCACAGACATGCAGGAGGGTGACTTTTACCCTGATGCCAAGCAGTGCCCTGTGTGACTTCAGCAGGGCTGTGCTGGCTGTTCCTGTGGCCATGGCTTTTACAGAGCTGTGCGTGGCTTTGCAATTTCTCCCAGTTTGGCATTTGCACTGTCCTATTTTCTTTCTTTCTTGGAAAATGCATGCAGGGGAAGGCAATGTCTGAGCAATTCTTGGCCCATGTTACATCTTGCCTGTCAGACAAATGTTTCTCATTGGCTGTGGATTTCTCTCTCTCAGGGTTCCTGAGGGTCAGGGTTACCCCAAGAGAGATCCGAAAAGAGTCTTTGCTTCCCTAGCCCAAATACAGTTAATGAAGGAGTCTGGGAATGCTTCCAGTTGTGCTTTCAAGGTTTATTTCTTCTTATCTATAATATTTTCTTTGTCCTGCTGTGGTCTGCCTAGTACAGAAGCCATCGCAGTCTGGCCTCGAGCCCTAGGCAGCTTTATATTATATATTATATATTATATATTATATATTATATATTATATATTATATATTATATATTATATTATATATTATATTATATATTATATATTATATATTATATATTATATATTATATATTATATATTATATATTATATATTATATATTATATATATATATTCAAAATGATGTGTACTATGTTTACCAATACCTAAAATCTATGTTGGACAATGTATCCCTATCTTAAACCAATAGAAAAGTGTCACTATCACAGCAAGATACAGAGGACAAGAAGAACAAGAAGGCTAGGACACACCCAAATACCTCCATCTTGTCCCCTGAACCCCTTATCTTAAAAAACCCAAAATTCTATTTTTCCACCCTGTGTTAGTTCAAATATCACACTACTAAAACTTGCAATTCCTCATCCAGAGTTGGCAGTTTTCCACATGCTAAAATTGAAGCTACAGGTGTTTTTGACTTCATGCCAGGGTTTCCAAGACCCCTGCTAGGGTCTCGAGACAGCCAGGGCAGCCAGAGGGATGTCCTGGACTCCAACAATTGGCCCTGCTGCCACTCCCAGGAACAGCCAGAGCTGCACAGTTGCCTGCTTACAGTTGCATTAAAATGCCACAAAGTGGCAGCCACATCAGCCTTGTAGACTGAGCCAAGGAGGACATACAAATACAAGTTTCATCTACTGGCTGGCTGTGCATTATTTGCTACCAGTTCCAGTAGAGAAAATGTGCAAAACTTTAGAAAACAAATACAGATGTGGTAAAAGCAGCCAGCAAAAAAATTTAAGTGAAGTAACTGGAACAGAGTGCTTGGGTTTGCAAGACTCTGCACTACAGTGATGCTGAAAATAGTTCCAAGAACAGTTTCAACCTAAATAAGGAATAGAAAGTCCCATTTGATTGTGGGAACAATTTAGAGTTAAGATTTTCCCAGTCATTTGTTCTAATTAAGCTTGAATGGGCTAATTGGCTGAATTTTTATCACCTGTTGACAACTCATTTGTGAAATAAGTCTCAGTATCATTTGATGTGGGAGCCACAGTCCCATCAAATGTGATCCTGCTGAGCATCCTGGAGCTGTCACAGCAGACACAGCAAACAAGGTGCTGCTTCTGGTTCCCATCCTGGTTCGGGGCAATTAGGTTGGGCTGAAGTTGGGAAACCATGTAGTAGTCAGTGTTGCATTCCAAGGACCTTCATTTTTTCTTTGACAAACCTCTATTTACTCAGGAGTTTCCTGTGTTGGTGGGGCCTGAACCCATTCCCCAGTGATTGCTGTTTGTAGATATTTTTTTTTTTTTTTTTTTTTTTTTTTTTTTTTTTTTTTTTTTTTTTTTTTTTTTTTTTTTTTTGCTTCTTGATGTGTGTTTCATGCAGCTTGTTTCCAACTCCTAGAAGAGACGGAAACACTCCACAATGAAAATGTTGTCCCAAGTGGAGGTAAGGGCACAGAATTGAGGTCCTACAACCATGACTGTTGCAGCTGGAACAGTTGCTAGTAATGTCCTGAGTAAGGAAGCAAGAAAGATGTTTGCACAATATTCACAGATGTTTAATTCAGCTACCCACACATAACATAGGAAGCCACCCTGATTTTAAGTAACTGCACACAAAAAGTTCATGGCAGCAAAATGCTCTCATAGAATCTGGTGCCTCAATAGCCTTAGAACTGCTGGACTGTCTGCATCACTACTGCTCAGCCTTGAATGCAGTGAGAAAGAGGCTGCTCACCCAAGTGCTGGTTTCCAAATCTGCTCCCAGCCCGGCTGTTATTACCTTTCCACTGCTCTGTAAGACTCTTGCCTGTGGTTTGTGTAAGATCACAGGTGAGGTTTCCTTGGTTTTGGTGAATGAATTGTTTCTGACATGATTAGTTTGCTGTATGGGCACAGCATGTTAACCCTATGAGGTTTACCAACACTGACACTGCAGTAACTGCCTCCAAATCCCACTGTATCTGAAAGATCCTGGAGAAAGGCAGGGTATCCCTCCTAGCTGGGGTCATTGTTCCCTCCTGCTGCTTCTCCCATGCATGGAGGTTTCTGCCAGGGTAGGCCTGGTATTCCACAGGGCTGCATCCCCCTCTGCAGGCAGGCATTTCTAGTTGAAATAATTTTCCCAGCTGGTGTTCAAACAGGAGGGAAGATTGCAATCTTTCTGATAGAAGTGCATGCATGTATTTGGTTTATATTTTTAAAAATGCAAATATCATGTGCTTTGTCTTCTAAAATTTTCTGTTCTTAGCTAAGTATTTTAGCAGGATGTCAAATCCAAAGAGTTTTGCTGCCAGAAAGACTCTACTAGAAATGAGATTCCGTTGGGAAAGAGGAGTATTAAATAGTATTTGAAGCTGGGAAAGAATAACCAAACGGACCACAATCTTCTTTGAACATAAATAAATAAGGTGTGGGGGGTAGGGCCTCCTACCAATGTGTGGCTGCTCTGTCCCTCAGCATGGAGTGGGGGGGGATATTCTTTTGTCATCACTGTCAACTTGCCAGGACAGGTGTTAAACCACAACAGTTTTATGTGCAGGTAGGTCACTGCAGTTTGTCATCAC